GGGCTTAGGGCTGGGGGAAATGCGGAGGCATCAGTGGCAATTGCAGCAGCGGCTGGCTGCATGCTCATTTAAAATTGAACAAATGTTGGCTTGGTCACTCTCTCACTCAGCAACACTCACCAACACCAACACATACACCCGCACACACCAGGGCACAATCGCACACTCGCACATTCGCAGATGGGCGGCCACAGGCGCCACAGAAAGCCGGTCGTTGTGGAGTGGACCAAAAAAGCAAGCCAAATCGCATTTAAATGGAAATAAGTGTTGTGTCCAAACAATTTACAAAAACCAATTTTACAATGTAATGCGTTCAGAGTTGGCGCATCAGCCAGCCCGTGTGTGTGTGTGTATGTGTGTGCCTGGTTAGAACGTGTTCAACAGCAGGCAATGAATGTCCTGACGTACGTCCTGACGTTGGCGACTCTGGGGCGCCTTTTGGCCGCCGCTGCCACACGGCAGCCATTGACACAATTGCCAGCAACATCACAGTCCAAAAGTTTTGCACACAATTATGAGGCTAGGCGCTGATTATGGCACCAGATCCCGAATCAGTTCCAGCTTCAGCTTTGCCTTTCAAAATTGTTGTATAATTCTTGCGGAGTCGAAAATGCTGGCGTCAGTGCAGCAAGTGGTAAAAATTTTAAATGCAATCTCTAAGTCCTCCCCCCTTTAAAAAAAACCCCGCCACACCCACGGCATTTCCCTGCAGCCACACACAGTTTTTATGGCTGGCTTGTTAGCAATTTTCGCTCGAGTTATGAGCAGGATGCGCATTTTGGGGGCTTATAGGTGGTCTTTAGTGGTATGGCGAGAGGGGCGCTTAGTGGTGGGGGAGTGGGGTGGTCCAATGCTAACCAAAATTGAGTTATCAGTTTGTTGGCTCTGCCAGCAAATGTGCTTGGGCTGATTGCGTGACAGCTGCTGCTGCAGAAGAAGTTGAAAAAATAGCGTCCAACTAACTGATTTGACAGAGGAGCAGGCAAAATGTCAAACTACGTGATTTTTATGCGAATGTGACAGTCGATACGCAGACGGAGAGAAAGAGACAGAGAATCAGAGAGATGTATATATACATAGTGAGAGATAGAAAAAAAAAAAGGAACAGAAACAGGAGCCAACGGGCATTGGCATGGGTACAATTTTTTATCAGCTTCTTCCTCCCCCTTTATATAGATATATATATATATATATTTTTTTTGTGCTACCGAAATATTAGCCTGTAGTTGAGTTAGCTGCGGTTTATTATGTGAGCGAGTGAAGTGAAGCTAATTTAAAGTCAATGTTGGGCTAGGGCGAACTTTTGGGCACTGCTGAACTAGCGTTAAGTTAATATCAGGACTGCGCCAGGCAAATGATTTCCCAGGGTCTCATTTTGCATGCCACTTGAATTTAAGCATCTCAGCGTAAACCAAGAAATTGATGAGCAAACGCTGAAAGTAATGGCAGGGTCAGGCATAGGCTACTCCAAATGTTTAAGTGTTAAGGATAATAGTATCATATAGCTTATAGGGGCAAGTTTAAAGTAAACTTAAGTTATGTAAGATTTGCATAGATACTACAGTTTTTCGTTCTTCACTTACACAGAGACCTAATACATATTATTTAATATTACTTTATTTATTAACAACACAAAGATCATAAAAATATTAATATTAATAATATGTAAAGGTAATATCGATCAAATATAATGTTGCAAAGTGAACAATAAAATAAATGGATGAGTGCTGAAAATGAGTGTATAGGCACCGCACTCTACAAGACAATAGTTAATATAATAATTAAAAAATAAATAAAAATGTTAATAATAATAATAATAATAATAACAATAATAATTATAAGAATAATGTATATTTATCAAATAGCATGTTGCAAGGTGAATACAAATAAATGGATATGTGCTTAAATATATAATAATATAAATATATATAAGTCTAGTCTACGTTCAAATAGTAAAAAAAAAAAAGTTAAAAATTATTATATATTTCATTTACATTAAGTTGCTTAGTATATTGTTGCTTAGTACACAATAATTGATAAGTAACTTATGAGTGTTCACATGAGGTGGCTTCTATTTGCTTATTGAAATAAAAGTAAAAGCAGTCTAGTCTACGTTTTAATATACGTTAGTAATAATAATAATAGTAAAATACCTAAAAATAATAATGATAGAAGTACTATTAATCTAACTAAGAATAATAATATTGTGTTATAATAATAATAACTTCATTTGGAATTGGTAGATCAATATTTTATATTTATTTTTTTTATAATTTTTATAACCGAAATATAAAACATAACTGAGACAAATATCAGAACTATTAAAAATTACTTAACTATTCTATATTGGTTTTGACTTCGGCATTTTTTTCAGTCTTTACTTAATATTTCTGGCAACACTTTATTGAGTCATTATTCAATTGCTGGCTTAAATCCACGTTGACAAAGCCTAAAGAGCACCCACTCTAAATGGCACATTAGGAACATATGCTGGCGGATGTGTGCTCGAAAACCTTTAACCCGAACCCACCCCTGGTTGGAAGGGTGCTCGTAAAGTAGCTTCAACCTTTTTCTCTCCTCTATGTGGCAAGTCCCCAAGCTAAAACCTTTTGTCGAGTGCTTTCCAATGCCAAACACCAAACTAAGCAATGCACATATGTCCTCCCCTGGCAGGCTCCATTAAATAGAAGTTATGTACCCACCGCTCCGGCTGGGCCCCAACCACTACTTGACAAGGTCTTTTCAACATTTGGACAAAAATGTCGCTCCACAATAAGAAAACAAGAGGAAAATAATAATAATAAAAACAGCAGAAGGGTTGAAATAAAAATGGAATTAAAATATGTGAGTTAGTCCCCGGAAAATATTGCACCTGCAGCTGGTCACATTGGACAGGCTCAAGCAGCAGGCACTTGCCCAACACGCACACACACACACACACACATACATACACAAACAATTTGAGCGGCCATTACCAACCATTTCGACCACAATAAAATGACAAATGCCCGAAAAATCTGACCATGTTCGCACACGATGCCAAATGGTTACGGCTACAGAGTCCTGCCTCAGCTCCTGTTCCGTATGTAGCTCCTGCTCCAGCTTTTGTGTGGCAGCTGCTGTCAAACAAGTCCCGTGACGAGCATTGCAACGGCATGTCCAAAGTGGAAGAGTAGGGGCCGTGAGCTCCAGACCAAACTTGAGCCTAACAAGTGTCGTTTGGCTGTCAGAGCTGGACAGACAGACAGGCAGCCAGCCCGGGCAGGCAGCAGGCAGCAGGCAGCAGAACCTGGCAGCTTGCCTTCATGCTCATCAGGCATCGGCTTTTGAGAGTGAGGAAGGGCGGGAACAGTTTTACAGCCAGTGAACGGTGGATGCTAAGCCCAGCGTTGACGACAACAGGGACAACCAGGCCTAAAGCCTATTAAAAATAATGCTAAACGGCAGTAAAACAATGTGTGGACTGGTCTGGTCAGTTAGGGTATGTGGGCCAGTTGGGAGAGGTGGATGTGCACGTGTTTACTCCCTGCCTGCACTTTGGCACCCTGTTAATGCGTATTAACAACCAAGTTATGTAAGTGGAGTTGCCGTTCGCTTTGTGCCAATAAATAAAATTTAATCAGCTTTTGCAGTTGCCAATTGAAAACTGAAAATCAAATAAAATGACGCGTAAAATGCCAACGAATTTTGTTGCACGGCTCGAAAACAATTTTAAGTCGATTTGCGACGCGAATCGCGCAACTGACAGCTGCAACTTGTGCTTTGGTTGTTGTTGTTGCTTGTTGCAGTTGCACTTTTGCCTGTTTATGGCATGTTGGCAACAGCGACGTCAACTTCTTAGCTGCTTTCTTTGCTCGCTCCTGTCTGCAACTTTGTGCTTTCTGCTCGCTGAATTTCTCAGAATGTCAATGGCAGCTGACTGGAGACATCCGCCCCCTCCCCCCCTCACAATTGCATCGAACAGTTTGCAAGGCAATAGGTCTTATGCCATAAACGTAAATATATGTAATATGTTAATAAAGAGAATAAAAAAGAGAAATAACATTTAAGCATAATACTTAAAATTCCCTGTAGTCCAAAATATATTAGTTCGAATAAGAATTATTTATAAGACATTAATCGTAATAAAGGTAATAATAATAGTTCCCAGTTGTCGATGTTTCATAGATGCGAATAATACTTATTAATAAGAAATTAATATTAATAAAGATAATTATGATAGTAATAGTTATAATTATATTAATAAGATTAATAATAATAATATTAATAATCAAATAATATAATTATAATTATATTAATAATAAAAGTATTAATGATAATAAGACATTGTGTTATAATTAATATGATAAAATGGTATAAATATAAATATTTTTATTCCTAATAATAATAATATAAAAAAGCATAATTAAATAATTATAATATAAATAATAAAAATCATGCTTGTAATGAAATTTATAAAAAATAATAGTAAATAATTTGAAAAATAATGATATATTAATTTATATATACATTTTCTTATTTTCAAAAATTAATTATACTAATTTAAAAGCAGTACAAGTATAATTTTAGTTAAAATGAATTATATACAGTTATACATATATATTATATATTTTAAAAATATATATATACATTGCTGACCAATATTATTAATCAATTAAAATAAGTATTTAAATTATTGTTAATATATAATATTAATAATAAATTAAAATTATATGATTAGTGCTCTTATTTCAGCATCGCCCGGGGATGACATTTAAGGCATTTATTATCCTATTTATTGGCCTATTAGCATTAATTCTTTTTCCCATTGGGGGAAAACCAAAAAAAAAAAAAAAACAGTTATCACTCAGTTTCAACTCAGACAGAAAATTTTTTGATCAACTCATCCTTGAAAATTTACCGACGTAGTTAAGGCATGGAGCTGCTACAGAATACTTATCAGATGTATTTTAGTTGCTGGCCTGCACAGAACAGACTTCCAATTTTGATTAAATAATAAAAACTGAAAAAAAACCTAAATTTTCTTTTGTGAAACAATTTTTCTTACTTTTTGTGTTACTCAATTCTGCTAAGTCGCGTCCATAATTTTTTTTATATCCAAATTCCAAATTTTTGTAAAGAATAAATTAATCTCAAGATGAAGCACATGAACCGCAACACCGTCCGCAGCTTCCTGAGCCTGCGCAGCGTTGCACGCTTGATCAATGTTCGTTACGCCTGTGAGGCTTCATCAGTCGGAGGCAAGGGTCTGGTGGTCGGCATTTACCTGAAGGAGGGCGACAAGGATCCTAAGTTTACGCCAAGCGGCGAGAAGCTAAATGACCGCACCAGCGGCAAGCTAAGACAGCTTGTCTGCGAATCGAAAGTGGATGGCCGTCTAGGACGTGGCCGTGTCTTCAACAACATTGACCCTGACTTTACCTCTGTCGCCGTTGTGGGCGTGGGCATCGAAGGTATTGGCTTCAATGAACTGGAGATGCTCGACGAGGGCATGGAGAATGTGCGTGTTGCCGCAGGAGTCGGTGCGCGCTCTCTTCAGGAGCAGGGCTGCCACATTATCGCTGTTGATGGCATGGACTATGCAGAGCAAGCGGCCGAGGGTTCATCGCTCGCGGTATGGAGATTTACAGACAATGTGAATAAAAAGAATCGTATGATTGTTCCCCGCTTGGAACTGTACGACTCGGCTGACATGGACGGCTGGACGCGAGGCATCTTCAAGGCAGAGTCCCAAAATTTGGCCAGGCGTCTTTCTGACGCTCCAGCCAATTGCATGACGCCAACAATGTTCGCCCAAGCCACAGTTGATGCCCTGTGCCCATGTGGCATTACCGTCGAAGTACGAACAATGGACTGGATTGAAATGCAGCGCATGCATGCGTTCCTTATGATTGCCAAGGGCAGTTGCGAGCCTCCGGTACTGCTGGAAATTAGCTATTGCGGCACTGCGCCCGAGGACAAACCAATTCTGTTTGTTGGCAAGGGCATCACCTTTAACTCGGGAGGTATCAATCTGCGCCCTTGCAAAGGCATGGATGAATACCGCGGCAGCATGTCTGCAGCCGCTGCGATCATTGGCATGATGCGTTGTATCGCAGCTCTTTCGCTACCCATCAATGTGACCTGCGTCATTCCACTGTGTGAGAACATGCCCTCAGGCATGTCGGTGAAGCCTGGCGATGTGGTCACCCTGCTGAATGCAAGATCAATGGCTATTCGTGACGTGGACAAGGCTGGCGTGGTAGTACTGGCTGATCCCCTGATCTATGGACAAACGACCTACAAACCACGCCTAGTTGTGGATGTGGCCGCCCTTGGCAGCGGCGTTAAGAAAGCGTACGGCGGCGGTGCTTCTGGCATCTTCTCCAACTCGCATTACGTCTGGAAGCAGTTCCAGCGCGCTGGCTCCCTGACTGGTGATCGCCTGTGGCGCATGCCCCTCTGGCAATACTACAAGAGACAAGTGAGTGACGAGACTGGCTACGATCTGAGCAATGATGGTCGTGGCATTGCCAGCTCCTGCTTGGCAGCTGCCATTCTCCACGAGCTGGTTCCCTGCGCCGATTGGGCTCACATTGATACTCGAGGCACGGGCTTACTCACAAAATTCGGCTTGGTTCCCTATCTGACAGCTCGTTACATGACTGGCCGCCCCACGCGCACCTTGGTGCAATTCGTGTACCAGATGGCTTGTCCCGAGATCAAGTAAGGCGTCCACTGTATTGTTTGTGAACAGAATCAATTGTTAAATATGAGAAAGTGAATAAACGTTACTGTATTTGAGCGACTGTTACTATCGGCCAAAAAAATAAAATATAAAAATTTAACGATAAATCTAAATGTTTTACCATTTTCATCATCCCAGTTGAATACAAGTTCTAGTTCTGTATCAACAGCTAGTCGATATAGCTATTTATATTCAAGTTAGTCCTCTCGTTTTAATACTATCGTAGGCCCATTTTACGGTTGCAGGCAGTACATAATTCGTAGCCAGTTAGATTGGATTACTATCGACCGCTTATGCAGTTGCCAAAGGAGTAATCGGTGGAAGATGGGCTTTTGTATGAACAACTTTTTATTTTTCAAGATGTCTTGACCAAGCTTGGCTTTTACTTTTTTTCGAGCCCTATGGTTTCGACTTTGAACAGCTATATCATTTAGCTACCATAAGAACGACCGGACGAAAATCAAGTGTATAAACAACTTTTGTTTATAAAAATAAAAAGAAAATTTGACGAAACCCGTCTCATTAGTTTCACTGGGTTCCTTAAATGTAAGACATTTCTTTATCATCCGGACTACTGAATAATTCTTGCTAGTTAATCATCATCATTAATATTTAAAAATAAGCAAATTCTGACAAACGATTTGATGGGTCCCCTACCACGAGGCCGTATCCCTTGACTTGTTGGAGAAGAATTTTATGTCGCTGAGTTCTGTGCAAAAAAATCAACAAAGCTTTCAGCTGTTTTATATAATACAAGCGTTAATTAAGCCACACACATGTTACCGGCAATGAACACATGTTAATTGTGTCGCAAATTGTTGAGTATGTTAATGTAAGACTCGGGCCACAACGCATTAGGCGCCCAACGTGGGGCAATCAGCTTCATTCGCTTGTTATTTTCAATGTATTTATGTGGCATCATTTGGTGGCATCAATTGAATATATTCCGACAGGGCTTCAATTGAATTTTATTATAATAATCATAGTTGCACGCATATTCTTGGCGTACTTATTGATTTTACCTTCTACCTTTCTATTTATATTATATATATATTATAAGATACTTGGGCTTTTGTGGTTGCTCTTTGCATTGTCGCAATGTGCATCTTAAAGATACATTTCAATGGGCACAGACACATAGTAAATGCCAGTGCTTTCAGTCTGGGCATAAAAAAAGCATTTAAATTAAATGCAAGTAACCGTCGTACCGCAAACATGGCGAAACTTTTGCAACGCTGAAAAAGGAATTTTAATTCCGCTCAGACGAGAAAAAAAATAGATAAAAATAAAAACGAATATAACGAAAGTAGAATCCAGTAAGTTGCCGCCCCCAAATGCAATCAAGTGCACGCGAAGGCGTGGCTTTGCCTTAAAAATTTGCTAAAAACGTTTCAAGTGTTCGAGCTGATCCAAAAGGAATACACACCGTCTATACTCCCCCTCGTACATCTCGTATCAATTGGGTTCGGTGCGTCAAGCGGGGGAGGGCAGACAATGCCACAATCTACAGACTGCAGTCTGCAGTCTGTAGTCCGCTTTCAGGCGCATCGCAATGAAAGACGAAGTCGTTTGCATTGCTTTGTGGCCGCGACCAGGTAGCAGACGGCGGAAGGTTTGAGTTTGGGTTCGGGCTAACGACATTGAAAATGCTTGTCGAACTTGAAAATTATTCGATTAAGTGCATTACCGGCGAGACATGGATCGGCAATCAAACTGAATTGCACACAGTCCCTAGCCCAAACCCCAGGTCCCAGTTCCATTCCCAATCCCAATCCCAGTCCCAGTCCCATCTGTGGTAACGCTCAGCGGGGAGTGGGGCTATGCTGCAGGCGTTTCATTGTTGTGACTGCGACATTGTCGTGTCTGGGGAGTTGCTGCTGCTGTTGTTGCTGCCAGTTGTTGCTCGGGCAGTTCGCCTTATTTATGTTGATTGTGTTTTTGCCTATGCCAATCAATGGAGCACACTTTCGGGCGCGTTAAGCCTTTGTGGCGCGCCCCAAGGTATGCTTTAATTTAATGCATTGTCATTGCCAGAAAGGCCGCACGTTGAAGCCAGGCGCCAGCAGAAAAGCTGCAATCGATTACATTCCATTTTCATGTTAATTTTTATGCATCCATAAAACTGGTAAGAGTGGCTTTCAAAAAGGCTGGGCCTGACATAAGCGACATCTAGGGCCTACATAAGGTAAATACATATATTTATTTACACAACAGAATTGTGCTTTTTACAATTACTTGAGGTCTTTAAAGTCGAGTTGGAGCGAAAGTCGCTTTGTAAGAAAAACTTGTACCGATTCCATTTCGAACAATATTAGCCGAGACTTTTCCCGAACTTTTTATTTTATAATAAATGGCAGATGGTGGCGAAGACGTTGACTCTTATTACTTGACGTTTTATTAATCGATTACATTGTCATAGAGGGATGCATTTTGTAATATCGATATATATAATAACAGCTCGTTAAATCATTCGAAGTCACTTTCGAAGTCGAAACGATTAAAATCAGAAGAAAAGTAATTTACGATGGTTTCCAAAACTAGTTATAAAGGGGTGGAAGGGGGAAGAACGTCGTGCTACGTAACTATCGATAGTACTGCTGATAAGCTGTTGTTATACCGATAACCATACAACACATAGATTGGACAGCTTAAGCAAATTTCTGGTCCGAAGTCGACGTCGTTTTTGTTCGGATCCGAGACCCGCTCACTTGCCCAGAGAGCAAGAGAACAAAAATTTTATATGATTTGTGTTATAGAACGGTATCGCTATTTTTTATTTCGCTCCCACTACACTAAAATACTTTTGCTTATTCTCAGTGCTCTGAATGCTCTTTTACTTTGTCTATTTAAATGTATTTAAATGTATGTGTGTGTATGTGTCCGCACAAGCAACAATGCATTTCTTCCCTTTTGAAGGGACGAAAATATGAAAAAATCAAAAAGTTTGAAACGCCGTACGAAATTCTTGCATTTTAGCTCGTTATCGTTGGTGAGGGCACCTAAGCGATGTGTGCATTTAAAATTTGTTGGACCTGCCATACACGCACACTTGCACAATTTTGTATATTTGGATAGATCTGGGTAAGAATTAATGTTAAGGGTCAACTCCAAATCAAAAACTCGCAAAAGGTCAATTCCTTAAGATCTAGAACTCACCGCCTGGTCTTCCTGGCTGTGCACATAGTGCAAGCCATTTGCAATCTTATCGGCCTCCAATTCAGCTGGCAGAGATGTGGCCAGCAGTCCGTGATGATGAGTCTGCGTTGGATGATGCACGATGTGCTCGAAGGTGGTCAACGGCTGCTCATCGTGAACGCCCTCGTAACCGTGCGACAGCCCGTGGCCGGGCGAGAAATCAATGAAGGAGCTGGGCGTGGGAATTTTAGAGGCAGCTGTGCTGGGCACCACGGGCAGCTCTTTGACATCATTGTTGCCCGGCTCCACAATGGGCACATACTGCTTGGTCTTGGCCATGCCAACCAGTCGGCCCGGCTGCACGCCCAGCGAGCCGTGCTCCGTTCCGGGCAGGGTCTTGAGTGTGGCAGTTGCTGGCGCCGGCTGCTGCTGCGGATGGAAGAGTATGGGCGCAGTGTTGTCCTGTGGGCGTGGATCTTGCATTTGAGCCAAGAGCAGCTGCTTTGGGTGTCGCTGCATCTTCGCCTGCATCTCCTTGGCCAGCAGATAGGTAAGGCCATGGATTTGATCGTCAGGCGACTTGCCAATCAGCGTGGACAGCTCACGAAACTCTGGCAGCTGCTTGTAGTGCTCATTGATGCTATCCGCGGATGCATGGTACTCGATCTTGATCATTGGCGCCGTGGAGGGACTGGGCTCCGCTTGAATCTCGTATTTGTACTGTTCAATGGGTCGACCGTAGATGGGATTGGCTTCCACCAGCTCTGATTGCAACGGATCCGGCTTGGATGGACGAAACTGTGGTGCCACATGTTGCAGCGACGGCTCAGCTGCAGCTTCGGGTGCGGCTAACTCGGCGCTGTAAGTGTGATGCACTTCCTCTGCAATTGGGGCGGCGGGTGCCGCTTCTTGCACCACAATGGGCTGTACAAAAGTGGGCGCGACAGGGTAAACCTTGGCATAGCTGGGCTTGTAAACATAACGCAGCTGCTCCACAACGGGCACGGGCTGTATGTGCACATGAACTGGCTCCACCGGCCTGGTGGCCACATACTTCATATACGCAGCTGGCTTGGGCACATACGAGACGGGCTTGGCCTTGAAGTGCTCATAGTCGCTCTTCTGGGGCGGCAGATACTTGATATACGCCTTGCCGCCGTTGCCCTCCTTGATCAGCTGCGTGATGACCTTCTGCACCTCGTGGGGCAGAGCACTAAGCGACTTCTTCGACTTGATGTGGGTAGCAGGCGCCTCCTTATAGATATACATGCGCTTGGACTCGGCTGCGGCCTCGCCGGATATGACCATGTTGTCATCGATGCGCGTCTCCTGTGTGGCAGCGATTTGCGTTTGATTTTCATTCGTCGGCGCTGCGGCCTTCATGGTCAGTAGGCTGGGCAATGTCAGCTGCTTGCTGCTACGCTGCAGCGACGCGGGCAGCGATGACTTCGCATCGGTCAGCTCAAACTTGAGCAACTGCAGCGGCGCTGAGCGCTTGGAGCGTTTGGTTTTGCGTGTGCGCACCTGGGACCTTGGAGCTGACTTTTCCACTGGAGCTGGCTCCCTTTGCATATCCAAGGCTCTGGCGCGCTTGATCAGCTGTGCGGTAATTGCATCCGGCTCACGTGCATCCGTTGCCTCGAAAGGAATCATTTGCACCTTAAAGTTGGCCGGTTGGCGATTGCTGGCGGATCTTCGTGACCGATGTGGCTTCCGTGTCCTCCTGCTGCTGGCGGTGCTGCTGGCTGGCGGCTGTGCTGTGCTACTGGCAGCGGGCTGTGCCTTCAGCGAGCGATCCCGATGCTGACGCAGAAACTGCTTCAGTTCCTGGCTGGGCTCCACCGCATCGCTGAGTTCAAAGCGCTGCATGCGCGGCGCAGTGGGCAGTTGGCGCTGCTCGCGCTTGGCACGTGGATGAGCGAGCTGGGAGGGATTCGCTGGCTGCTCGTTGTACTGATTGAAGGCGGCCAAA